TGTATGAGACTTTACAATGTTGGAAATTCATATCCATACATACATACAATTTATGTATGATTGTATGTTCGTATATTTTGTATTACAACTATTTGACTTATATTTTATTCGATATTATCTTTATGTTTCCATGTATGTACATATATATGTTCACATTTATATTTAACATACGTAATTTGTGTCTGGAATTGGTCTTATCCATTAATAATATTTTTGGCGGTTGTTATGTTTTATTGCTTTCTTTTTTTTATGTTTTTTTTTCTCATTTCTGTTATTTTATTTTATTATAAATATAAAATATTTTTTTTATTATTATTATTATATTAGAGTTTTTATTTTATTATGATTTTTTTTAATAAATTTTATATCTTAAGATTTTGATATTTTTTTTTTTTTGGTTGATTCTTGTTATTTTATTTAAGAGGAAGAGTTGGGTTGTGTGTGCGTGTGTTTGTTTGTCTGTTTTTTTTTTTATGAATATATCATTTAAACATAATAAAGCATAATATTTTACCCCGGTCATAAAATTGGCTTAATTTTTTTCCCCTTTAAAAAAAAATATTGTATATAATTTTTTTTTTTACTTTTATAAAAATTATTTTTTTTTTTTATGTTGATTTTTATTTATAAATTTAAGGGTGGTATGAAAATATCGAAATAAATATTAGTACTCAGAATTTTTTTGAAGAAAAAATCAATACATTTTTCTTGAAAATTGTTTGGTTAAAAACACTTTAATTTTGATTTTTGAAAGTAAGTGCTCACATGTTAGCGAGGAGGATGACCGACACGTCCTTTATGGGATTAAATAATTTTCTTGAATTGTAAGTCAGGGCATCCGGGAGGGACTTTAGAAGGAGATAGTAGAGCGAGTCTGCCCTGAACTGAAGCCGATCAAATAGTTTCTGGACAAAACGTGCATACATACTGTTCGAGACTTCGATAAACCTTCTCTGTGGGTGTTGAAAAATGATCAACAGCAAAAGGGAGTCTCTAGGTGGTTAAAAGAGAGCTGCGAGAAATCGATCGACATAAAATACTCCAATTTGTCAGTAGGGTAGGTGTCTAGGGAGCGCTTCAGGTGTGATAGGTGGAAAGCGGCACAATAGATCCAACCCTTGGATCGCGCTGCATTGCTACCCCATGTATAATCTAATCTAATCTAGCCTAGATCTTTGCAAAAAGAAGCTCGTAGGCGATTTTTGGAAAAGCAAGAACTGCCATTAATAATGTTACTGAAACAGATTGACTCGCAAAGTCAATGAAAAATTCAATTGAAACAAATACTGTAAAAAAATAATTCTAAAATTTTAAACCAACTTAAGTAGATTACTGAGAAATCAATTTGAATTTGTTCGATTTACATAAATGGTTTTGGTTTAATCTGTTTTTATTCAGTAATTATTTTTATTCAAAAGAAAGAATTAAATTTTTTTTCATACTTTATAATTTTCATTAAATTATAATTATTTTCAGTTTTTTTTTATATTTATATTTAAAATTTCAATAATAATAAAACTTCCGGTCACATTGTAACAATGCAATTTTAGTTTTTGTCTCAATAACAGAAAAACGAAAAATAAGAAAAATAAATTTATACTTTTAAAACATTTTTAATAAATCATTCGAAATAATTATTTAATGTTATGGATTGCATACATTTACATACATACATTTGTACTAAATGCATACAAATTGCATATTTGCAATATATTTACACACTACATATTTAAAATAAATTTATTATTATTAAAAAAAATTTTTTTTTTATTTTCTTTAATTAATTGCAAAATTTTTATTGTCATTTCAATCATAGTTTATACTTATAAAGTGACTGATTGTTTTTTTTTATGGATAATTATAGGATTTTAGAAATTATTGCATGCGCAGAAAAAAATGCAATAATTTTCAATTTTTTTATATTTGCCTATATAGATTTTAAAGGTAAATAATAATAACATTAAATTAATAAATAAATTTCATTACATATTATTATTATTTTTATAGTTGTGTTGCGATTACAATGATGATATCAAAAATATTTTAATATCATTTAATTACATTTAACAGATTCAATGAAAATTTAGAAAAATATGGAAAAAAACTAAAATTTTATTTTATTATATATAATTAGTAATATTATTTTAAATTCAAATAAAAAGTGTGGATATTAAATAATAATAATTGAATATAATTTTCAAATTTTATTAATGAGTGTTTTTTTTTAGGAAATAAAATTCATCGTCATTGATTTTTTTTTCGAAGGAATTCCATGAAATTCCGATCATACCTACATATTTCCTAGAATTAGATATGGTAATTTGTTTTTATAATTAAGTTTATGTTCTATTTAAAGGCATATAACTTTACTCATGTAATTATAAAGATTTTCATAAACGCAATATTGAAAAACAATAACTGCGAAACGCAATACTGCAAAACATACCGTGACGAATACTTATGCAATATATTTTTAACTATTCTATAAAATCAAAACGCTTCATATGAGTTCACTGTGCTATTCGTACTAGTTTCGCTATATTGCACATTTATACCATTTCCATCATGTTTTTTTTTGTGGTACTTATGCACTACTGTTGCATTACACTATATATAAATAACATTATTTTGATGGATGCGAGTTGGTACTGAATGACAGCAGTAAAAATAAATGTCAAAAACCGGATTTTGGTTGTCTGCTGAGTTAATAGCCAACACATAATTGAAATACAAATGTTGTTGCATTATAAAAATATATGTACTATTGGCACTATAAGTATGTAAGACGTCCGCAATGTTTTCATTTTGCGAAACTGTCAACTAAATAAAATTCGTCCGAAAACTTTTGAAACACTATGTATGCGCGTTTTTTTCCTGCTTTTCCTTTTTTTTTTGAAACATTGAATTGAACCTAATAAAGAATTAAATTTTTTTTATATATTTATATAATATTAAATATAAAAAAAAGTATAGCTGTGTATACAGGCATGTTCATAAAATTTTTTTTTAAGGTTTTTAATACTTTAACAGAATTTTTTTTTTCTTTATTTATTTTTTAATTTTTCTTTTCAATTTTTTTGGAGTTTCTTTTTTTTTTGTACATTTAACAAGCATCAGAAGAAGAAAAAGAATAAGAAATAAAAATATGAAAGAAAAATACAGAAAATTAAACAATATTTTATGGATATGTTAAAAAAAAGTGTACATATATATTTATATACACATACATACAGTAATATACATTCGTATATATTGTGTGTAATATACGAAAGAATTTTAAGAACAGCAAGAAATTTATAATTTTAATGTTACATGAAAATAAAAAATATAAAAAAAAAACAAATAACCAAAATTAAATATGAAAAATATCTTTTTTAAGAAAAAATAATAAAAATAATAAAAAAAGAAAAAAAGATTATTAAAAAAAACTCTAAAATAATAAAAAATAAAGATGTACAAGAAAAGTAAAAAAAAAGATCAAACCGAAAAAAAAGAGAAGATTACGTTTAGAGGGGTTACCAACCTCAAGAAATTTATTTATATGTATCTATGTATGAATGTGTGTTTGTATATGCATAATATAAATAATATAAAATGCATTAATCTTTTATAATTCTGATGTACATACAGAAGGCAGAACTCTACTTTAAGTAAAAAAAAATTCAAAAAAGCAAAAAAATAAAATAAATAAATAAAATATTAAAAAAATTATTTAAAAAGAAAAAAAAAATGAAAATTAAAAAATATGAAGACTGATTTGTATGTAACCGAAATTAAAAAAAAAACACCATTTAAAAAAAAAAAATAAGAATATCAAATACCCTAGTGCTTCATTATACTCTCAAAACTAATAAATTCTTGGTATCTTTCTTAGCCCTAATCAAAAGGATGATGGCGTGGTAACACATTGGTATTCTGGTTGAAAATTGTTCAATTTTTTTTTTATTTAAAATATGATTTATGTTATATTTTATTTCATTACATTTAACTTATGTATGGCGAATTCAATAAAAATGGAGGCGAATTCAAGCAAAAATCAAGCGAATAAAAATTCAACGTATTCTTTACGCGAACTTATCAAAAATATAAAAAATTTTATTGTGATAATTCTCTTTAAAATACTGTCAACATTGTACAATGCTGCAATGACGTAAAACAAGATTGGCGAATTTATATATTCGCCGTGTATACTAACCAAATGGTAGTCAATTCACTAGCTTCGAAAAGAATTCGGCAAGTTTGGTTGGTTCCCCTAACATAATAAGTCATTTAAAAATTATAGTAAATCTTGGTTAACGTCTGTTTTATTTCTAATAAAATATCTCACAGCGAATACTACTATACAACTTAATTGGGCAATTTTACGATAAGTTACCAGTTTTGGAATCGAAAAACTATTACACGTCTATAATAAATTAAGTTAAATTTAAAAAAAAATACTGTTATTATATTGCGGTAGATTTCCAAAAAATTAAATAAGGAGTCTTCGTTCTTGTTATACTTAGAAATGTTCAAGGACCTTAATAAAATATAAAACAATATTCTTATTAAATATTTTCGTTCTTATTCTTCCCACGCAGACCACGTTTTTAAAAATACAAACTGTTATTTTTTCTATAACACTGTCGCCACTCTCAATTGTTCTAACTTATCAATACTATTTAGAATTAATAAATTAATTAATTATTTAAATTGAATTTCGATACGAAAATATTTTCTTATTTTGTTAATTAAAATAAAAAAATAAATATCTATAGATATTATTATTTTATATTTTATCTAATGTTCAATATATGTAATTAATTTTCTTAAATATATCGTATAATATAATAATTTTTCTTTTATAATTACGTTCGAACTTATTAATAAATTCTTAAAAATATTTGATGCGTATATAATGATATTAAAACTAGGTAGATTAATGATAAGGATTTGTTCTACACTCGGACTATATAAAAAGATATTTTAAATTAAAGGAATATCTCTTACATCTCTTACAGTGACTCCAAAGTTTTTGTTGAAAAAAGAATCAACGATTAAGGAGTATTATTAGATAAATATTCATATACAGAGTTACATATATTATTTACATGGATTCGATTTACTTTCAAGTTACATAGGGAAGGATGTTCTGTAGCAGCAAAGGAAAATAAATAAAATTTGTTCACTGAAAGGAGCTGTTCCGAATTCATTTGATTTTTAAAGGAAATCCACAATATCAGCATTTTTGATCTCAATGTAAAAAAGTGTAAATGTCAAACAAAAAATAATTCAGGTATTACTTTTTTTACTCTGCTCATTAATAATATTAATTTTTTCTGTTTTTAGTGTAGTATTTTTCAAGATTCCCACTTGTCTTGTATATTGAGGCATTCTAATGTTAATGGTCATCCTACACTTTTGTAGTAATGCCATACTATGCATAATATTTCCGAAAAAGAAAAAAATTAACTGTGACTCGTATAAAATTATAGAATTTATTATTATATTATATAATTATAAAGAAAAAAATGTGAGTGGAAATGAAAAATGAAAAAAAAGCGAAAGGAGTAAAACAGAAAAAAAAATACCAAATTCAACAAAAGGATACGGGAGATTTTTATCGACATTTTAGCAAAAGGCAGTAATTACCTACTTTTTTTTCTTTTTAAATATCATTTCGCTTTTATTCTTCCCTTATTTTATTTTCTATATTAAAATTATTATTATATTTTATTATAATTATTATTAAATATGAATGTATATGTATGTTTTTGTGTAGCAATTATGTCAGATACACATAAATTATAGAATATATATATATATATTTTTTTTTTTCAACATATATTTGATTTTTATGCATTATACATAATTATTATTTTTATTTCTAATATTTAATTACATATATTTTTTTATTATTATACTTTATAAATTCATATATGTGTACATGTGATATAATCAATTTAGTTATAATTTTTATAATATAATATTCTATTGTATAAAAATATTATTTTAAGGTTTTTTTCTCCCTCTATCCCTTATGATGGCGTAATGTATGAGTGTTATTATTTTCATTATTATTATTATTTGTTATTGGTGTATTTTATTCATTCATGATCATACGTAAATACGTAACGTATGCATGTTGTATGTATGTACATTGTATATAAAGCTGTTGATTTATTTGGCGTCTATAGCAGGTCGCTAACATAAATTTCATGCAACATAAACAATGTATTCTCAATAATAATAAAATAATAAAACGAATTATATAAAAATAATAAAAGTATTATTAAATTGTACAAACATGTATGAATTTGAATATACATATGTACATATGCATATGTTTGTAATTTTTAATGTTTAAATATTTTATTACTTAATATTTTTTTTTATATTTTTTTTTCACTTTTTATAAGTATAATATACAGAGTATCAAAAATTATTTTAATTCTTAATGTACATAATTATTATATATTGAGCAGAGAGATAATTTGAGTAAAAGATTCCACTAATTAGTTTTTTTTTTAAGTAATAATTTGTAGGTACAATTTTTTTGAACATGCAATATTAATAAAATATAAAGAGCATGTGTTCATACAGTAATCGTTGTGTTGCATAATGTTACGTCTTTTTCATTTTGTTCGGCGCTTCTTAATTTTGTTGACAATATTTTAAGCTAAGCAAATTGTTTGGGAGAGAAAGGAAGATGGATAACAATGGGAAATTAGATCTTTTTGTTTATATATTTTTGTAAAACAGAGCAAGTTATTTGTCATTAAATTCGTTTTCAATAACTCGTTTTGAGTTTCTCTTTTAATTGCCTTAATAAACTTTTCTGAAAGGCGATGTTATAGCTGCGAGCATCGGAAGATGTTCTCTTATCCCTTTCGTTCGAATCCCTTAAGATCTACAATCTACAATTCTTCAATAAATGAAATCTTCTTTCCAAAAAATTTTTGTAAAAAATCTTTGTAAACAAATATTTTGTAGATCCTAGTATGACACAAAAAATCTGGTGATATTAATCCCGTGGATTTAAATCTAATATGGAATCTTTTACAGTTCTATCATTTTAACTGAACTAGTCTGTTTGAAAATAAAGAAATAGAGAAATTTAAAAATTTTAGTAATCCTATATCAATTCGCGTTTCACATTATTAGTTCTAATTATATTGAATTTTATTAGAAATATTATTTATTTTAAGACACCCTATACATTTTGTAATTTGTATATTTTAATACATATACATATATGAATGTATATATATAATAAATTATAATATAATATACAATTTATATATTTTTATAATTATAATTCGTTTAGAACTTTTATACGATATACGACTTTGATATTTCCTCCTTTTTTTCTACTTTTTCAATTTTTTTTTCTTCTTTAAAGAAAACAAAAATAAAATTAATACAATATATAAAAAATGTAGAAAAGAAATAAAATATCAAAGTTGTAGAATAGAAAAAAAAATACGAAATAGTCGAAGAATATATAAAAAAGTTGTATAATGTATGATTAGGAAATTCAATATTTATGTGGACTATAATTTATTTAGAATATACTTAAAAATATAATATATACATATATTGTATATACGAACTATTAAGGATAAACAAATGTTTATGTATGTGTGTTTATATTGTATTGTGTGTTTATTATTGTATTATAATTAAATAAGTTTATTTTATATTTTATTTATTTATTTCGTATATTAAAAAATTATATTCTTTAATCAATATTATGCCGTCAGATTATAATATTTTTTTATAATTTAAGTAAATAATTTGTTATTTAGAATTAGATTAATGTATGAGTGTTTGCTTAAATGTAGGTATGAACCCGGGTGTCTCATATACATATACATAATGTTTAATTTAACAGAAAAAATTCAAGAATATGACAGTTTTAAAAAAGCACCATCTGTTTTTATCAACGGGTATGATTAACAATTATATAAAACATCTGAAACAATAAAATTAATTGAAAATATTTTTTAGTTTCAACAACACGCTTGAATTTAAAAATTCAAATCTGAAGCAGTTGCAGCATTGCAAAATTCTCAATTTTTTTTGCGGCAAGGTTGGTGTATAAATTTTTTTTCCTAGTAAGGAGAAAAGCAATCATGTTCACTAATGTAATACTACTTTATCGAAATTGCTAAACCAAAAACAAACGATTTTAAATCAAAAGATAAAATTTTTAATTATGTACTAAAAATTAATTTTATTATAAGAAATAATTTACATTACGTAGTTTTCAAATTTATTTTGTATTTTATATATGTACATAAATATTAGTTTGTATGTGCGTATTTGCGTATTTCTATCTCATTCGATTTCAATATCCGTTTTAAATAAATAAACACTCATATAAACAGTTGTGTTCAAAATATCCATAAATCTAACTAGAAAATTTCAATTTTATATATGTAGTCTTTATATAAATTTTTATGAATATGCAGATGTATCTAGATATATTTAGACTAAGTACTTTGTATTTTTATATCCGATGCAATGAATTGCTTGTAATATAATTTTCTTTTGAATTCCTTATCCATCAATTTCTTCATATATGTACCTAAAGACATACATGCATACATATGCATGTATAAATATGTAAGCTATATTTATGGCGGATATTTAGGAATAATAATATATAAGCATTGAAATTCTTATTTTTTAATTTTTATATGATTAAAAGAATTAAAATCAACAAAAAAAATTAATAATAATAATAAAAAAAAAATTGTAAAACGTTAAAAAAAATTAATGAACAAAAAAAACTAAAGATTTCTATCTTTAATGGTAAAAAAAAACCGAAAAAAAATTGTATACTCACAAAATTATTTATAAAAAACTAAATATAATTATGTATGTGTATGTGGAATGAAAACACATATATATTAAAGTATGTATGCATACTATCAGAATGATGGATAAATTTACTAAAATTTACGAAATTTATTTTAAACGATTAGTAGATAAGGTTAGTGTTTTTTTCTCAGGAGGTTCTCTTTGAGTGAATTGCAGTTTTATAATTTTCCTATTTAATCTAATTAACATTTACTAATGCAGATGCATTTTAATTTTATTGTTGTTATACTAGCTAAATCTCATGTATGTACAATACAAATGCTTAAAAGATGAAAATTCAACTTGCACCAATCATCAACTTGGTGTTAGCTTTAGAAATCTCCATGCATATAAAAAGAACAACATATAGCACCCTTTATAAATTCATTCACTTGGAAAAGTAGTGATCAATTATGTGAAAAAATAAGAAACGAGCAAAAAAAATTGTTTATATTTTATATACAAACATACACACATCGAAAATTAAGAGAATTAATGGATTTAATAAATTAGTTTTCACAAATTAAAACAGCTTAATAATTAAACTAAAACTAAATTGTATTCTAAACGAAATTTCTAAATATAAAGATATATTTTAAGAGAATATAATATAAAAAAAATTCAATTTATTATCCCCTTTAGATAAGGATAAGCGCCAATCTTATATAACGTAATTTATTTATTTTTAAATTATAAACAAAAAAAATAAAATTATAAATTTAAAGTTAGTGGTCTATCTGTTCATATTAAAGCGTCGACTGCTAACAATTATGCAGTGTCATAAGAAATAGTTAATTAATCATTGTTGTAACAATGCTTGAATTTTTTTTAAAAGAGTAAAAGTAGTTGAAAAAAAAGACTGTAGTGTTGAATAACTAATAAATATAAATTTTTTTTTGTTTTAGTAAAAACCTACCTACAAATTTACAACTGAAGTGAAAACACCGAAAGTTTGTGGTTATAAAATAAGTTCGGAGTTTCAACCAGGATCAAAAAAGTAACAAGAAAAGTGGTGAAGCTTAAGATGAAGAGACGGCATGCAATACAATCATACAATCATTTAAAAAGAAGAAACGGCATTTTATATTCTTTACAAATGCGCTAACTGGGGTTTAATGAAATTGAGATTTTGGAATATTTTGTAAACAGTGGGATATTATAATAATGTTACCAGTAAGTGAACAACCGTTTATCAGTTAGGCTCGTTTATTAACTAATTTCATAATATTGTTGATTATTTTTTAATTTTTAAAATATTCAAGCCATCTGTAGGAATAAATTTTACTCAATTGTTTACTCTTAAACAGAACCTCTTATTTGCTTAAGTACGTTTATTTTTCTTGTATAAGTAAAAGTTGATATCGAATTGTTGTAAAACTTTAAGCGATGTAAATAGTAAGAGCGAATTAACTGAAAGTATAGGGCGTAAAAATGTAAACTCGAAAAATAAAATTAATTAAAGTTTAAAATTTTACTTTAGTAATGTTTAAATTACAATGTTATTATTAAAAAAGGAATAGA